GACTGATTGTGGAGCAGCCCTTTGGTTCGTAATCTTATCACAAACAATCACATTGTAATGGGTGGCTGTGTGGTGTGTGGCGTGTGTGATGATGTGTGGATAGTGTGTGTGTGTGTGTTGTGTGTGGTGTGTGTGTGTGTGTGTGTGTGTGTGTGTGTGTGTGTGTGTGTGTGTGCAGGGGCGTGTACAGGGGGGGGGGGTCGCAAGGGGTCCGGAGCGCCCCCTGCTCGCGCAGAAAACGGAGCCATCTGAGGGGATCTACTTCAAAATTTTTGAACGGCCCTGCTCCTTTCGCGTGCTCGCTACTGGTGTCCCCCCCACATTTCAAAGTGGATTTGCGCGCCTGCACTGACGGTGAGGTATTTGCAAGCTCATGTTGCAAGATCTTTACCAATCTATCGTCTTTAAATAAATAAATAAATCAATCAACAACCCGCAGTACTGGTACAGGATATATGTCGCTATGGCTATTTATTGTACAATGAGGTGAATAATTTCTACTTGTTGAAATAACATTTCACTAGCTTGTCAGCAATTCAGCAAAATTGCAACAAAACAAAAAAAGCAATGGATGTGTTATTTTCTCAATTCCCCTTTTTGCAGCACCGCATATGTTACACGCGTGTGCACAAACAAATATCTATTGAATTAATATGTGCATGGTGTACCTGATGCCACAGCGCGTTCATGAATTGTTATATATATATATATATATATATATATATATATAACGGTATCGGACAATAACCGCCCGAACAATTACCGCCCCGGCAGCAATTACCCCCATGCCATTTAGCGCCCCCATGCCATTAGGCGCCCCGAATCGCCATTCACCCCCCCGGACAATCACCCCCTGGCCAATTACCCCGCGGACATGTTACCCCCCGGAACATTTACGCCCCCGGACAATGCACCAGCGCCGGACATTTACGGTCGCAACCGGAACAATTACCCGGAACCAGGAGCAAAATTACCCAGCCGCGGACAATCACGCCCCCGGACAATATCAGCCCGCCCGGACATTTTACCTCCCGGACAATTAGCCCACCGGAGCATTACCTGCCGCGGACATTTACCCCGCGCGGAACAATCTAACCCGACCCCGGACCATCTTCCGGCCCGCCGGTACAATTACTTTACCCGATAGTTTACCCACGACATTTACCCCCCGGACAATTACCCCGGCCGCAATTTACCCCCGAACATTTACACGCCCGAACAATCACCCTCCCGCGGACATTTACGCGCGGCCGACAATTACCGCCCGTGGGACGATTTTTACCCCCGCCCCCGCCGGACTATTTACCCCGCTGGACAATTCACCCCCGGCACTTTAACCCCCCCCCCCACCCGGACAATTCACCGCCCGGAGCATTTACTCAACNGACAATTACCGCCGACACTTACGCCCCGATGCATTTACCCCCAGGCCATTACACACCCCGACAATCACACCTGGACAATTACCCCCAGACAAATTACCGGGATATTTACCGCCCGACAATTACGCCTGCCTATGGTCCATTTAAACCCCATCATTCACGCTCCCGGGACATACCCCCGGACCGAATTACCTCGGACATTTACCCGCCGGAATCATTTACCCCTCCTTACAATTCCCCCCGCGACATTTACGCACCAACATTTACCGGCCCCGACATTTACACCCAGAACAATCACGCCCCGGACATTTTACCCCCGGACAATTACCCCCAGACAGATACCCCCGAACAATTACACCGCCCAGACAATTCACCCCCCTGGAACAATATCCCCCGGGAGACCGACAATTGACCCCGCCGACAATTAGTCCATGGCCATTTAACCTCCCCATGCCATTCACAGACCCCGGCACATCACACCCCGGACAATTACCCGGACATTAGCGGGGGTAATTGTCCGGGGGGTGATTGTCCGGGGGGTATTTGTCCTAGAACCATATATACATATCCATTTGAGGTGAAGAAAAGATATTACTCGTATACGTATTCGTTATCGCTTCACATCAGTAGCCTACTACTGCGGCAGATGAATGACCGACTGGACGTACGCGCATGCATACGAACACGAGCAGCATTTGTGAGTGTAGAATAAAAGAAACGATAATACGATAACTCGGGCATATCAATACCTATCAAGAATAACCTATATACTGCTGTAAACAGTAGAATGAAGATATAAAGTCAAAACTTGTTGTAGTAACCGGAATAAACTTAAGTCCTTCTCTCCCTCTCTCGCTCTCCGTTCTTCTTCCTCTGTTTCGTTGCTGGCCCGGCCGTATATAGATCGATATAATGAAGTATAACTTGCGTTGTGTCCACAAAGGGATACCCAGATTTTGGACTGTTACGAGCACCAAAATGTAAACAGTAGAATGAAGATATAAAGTCAAAACTTGTTGTAGTTACCGGAATAAACTTTGTTCGCTTGTACACTGTAGCCACATCACACAAAGAGACAAAGAACGCCGCACACGCGCATACGCGCGTGTGCTCAGCTCCGCGCCCAGAACCCGAATCTCCAATCCCCTTCCTATTACATCTCTCCCTATATATTCGCCCAAAACTCCCTACATCTTGAGCGCACATGTCACCCGTTCTGTCCAGTTCCAACCGTTCCCCTCATTTCACAATCACCCTAGAAACTGCCTAACCTAACTATTTCTCATCTGTATGCTAAACGCCGAACCCTGCTTCTATGTACAACTAAATCTATCTACGATTACTAATTCAATGAACATGTGTAAAACACACGTTACACTGCTCCCATGTACGTTTTGAGAATACAGAGCAGTCATATAGAACTGCATTGCATGTGTGCTTGCATGGGCAGGGCCGGACTGGGAAAATCATTCAGGCCGGGAAATATAGCGCGAAATATAGCCCCAGTCAGGCCACTTTTTAAGCGGGGCGTTGGGGGTCCCGGGACTCCCAACCAGGAAAAATTTGGTTACAAAGACTTCATTCCATGCATTCTGGTGAATTTTAGTGCATGTGAATCACAAACGTAACTATATGTATATATATGGCCTGCAGGCCGCAGATTTATTTATTTTTAAATTGGGGGGGGGGCAGGCCACTTAGCAGGCATGCAAGCCACCGAGAAAACTCCCGGTGCTCCCGATCGCCAGTCCGGCCTTGCATATGGGGAACATGCACGATGTGTGCTAAAAGATCTACGTATAGAATTTATAGTACAAATATGTATATTTTTTAAGGCAATACAACATTATATTTGAAGGACTTATATACCTTCTCAGCAAGATCTTTTGTTCCTGGCTAGCAATGGATCGAAAAGCCTATATATCATTTGTACCAACCTTTGTACTAAAACTATGTCTGGGTACGTACTGTATATTTATTAATGCATATTATCGCTATTTACGTGTTTGAGTTTATATTATATAGACATGTATCCTGGAACACCTGCATACAATGTTTGTGCAAATAAAATTATTATTAATACGTTGGCTAATTGCGTGTTTGTTTTATACGTTGACTTCGTGACAGTTTACATCAATCTTGGTGCCAAAGTTTATGATGAAACTAAGCCGTGGCTCTTTTATACAGACATGCCACTGTACGGGTCGCGGGCGACGCAGCATGCGGCAGGAGGGCACGTTGTTGTGAATTATCAGAAATACAGAAATTAGAAAATCCGTAACTGCGGCAATTACGACGTAGAGAAATTCAATAAGACATTGTACGATATTGTACGTGCAGCAAATACATATACCCCTTTTCTGGTGACAATTAACACTTTTATGGTGACCAATATAAGTCAATTCCTCCCGCTTTCTCCTATTTTTCACGTTTCACGTAAGAGAAATAAATATTTCTATCACTTATCTCACTGTGGGGGACAAAAACTTGATATATATATACATATATATATATATGACTATAGAGATTACGGTTAACGTTACTCTCGGCACGCGGGATTGGACCATTTTAATTATCGGGGAACTGGGAAATACCGGATAACTTTTCGCGATTCGTGAATATAAAGGCCACCGCACACCAGCCGATTTTTACAAACGATGAAACGATGAAGCGATGAAACCATGAAGCGATGTAGGTGTGCGGCGCACACCTACGATAATTTCTGCAAGGTGAATGTCATGTGACACGGGCACGTTCAGCTAATTGCTGGATTCCAAATATTTATCGCCCGACACGATTGTGTTCGCCTGTGATGGTCGACAGCGCACACCACAAAATACTCGCAGTCCAGAAATATATCGGTTCAAATCAAACATGTTCTGCGATTTGAGAATCGATCACGGATAACAATACACAATCGTCTACAAATGAACCCGCACACCTACATCGTTCATCGTTTTCATCGTTTGTTTAAAATCGGCTGGTTGTGCGGGTGGCCTTACAGTAATTCACCGGACGCGGAAACTGCCGCATAATTGTGATTATAAATTAACCAATAACTGAGAAGGCCAGGCGAACTTTTACCCCAGAACCGGGGAGAGAAACCGAAAGGCGAGCACCCCTTTCTGCCGTTGCCTGTGTTAATATTTTCTTCAAATTGAATCAGATAGAAGCTAAACAAGGTATAACTGTTTCACACTTTATTCCCATGATAGCTTAATATGCAGGTTGTTCATCGCGACAGTTAAATCCTACCTACTAGATTTTGTTTGGGAATTGTACAGTGTCTATGTGCTACAATGGCAAGAAGTACCACTACCAAGACAAAAAAATGCATTATGATATTGATATTTATATATATATATATGTAATTATATATATACAACACGCGCAACGCATCGCACGTTACACATGCACGACTGCACAGCCACGAATGCCACTGCACAGGCACGAATGCACACTGCACAGCCACGAATGCACCACTGCAACAGCCACGACTTGCATCACAGGGCCCGATGCGTACACGCTAATGCTCACGGAGCTGGAACACACACACACAAGCGCCACACACACACACACCGATGTGTGGCATAAGGCATGCAGTGCGAAACGACACACAACACAACGCACACCGCCGCACGTCACGCAGGCACGCACGCACGCACGGCACGCACACAACATCACACTACAATGAACATATGTATCCTCAGAACTCACAATACATATTATCACACATACATATTGATAAATACTACTTGTTGATGAATATTCTTAAAATAAAATGACCTTGTATAGGAGCTCAAAATATTATCTAATTAACTTGCGTACACACAAATGTGAATACGTTTCGTATTAGCCGACCCGTTTATCTGTAACACAACTATATAGACACAGCATAACTGTAGCTGCTTTCTTAGAATATTAAACATAACATTATGCAAACATCTAATTGTCGTCCTGTTTGGTCCCTTGCATTCCCTTGGAAGAGCTATAAAAGTAATACAGAACACTGAACCAAACGACTTTTTCACAGGAAGTAGGCTATGCATTTTTGGATATCTGTTTTTAGATTTGTGGGAAATGTGGTGGAGTTGAGATGCCGTACTATTTTAATTAACCACACTCACTGCTAACATATAAGCATCACAAGCACATCAATGCTCTTGGACAAACGTTGTGATCAGAACTATACAATCGTAAACGCCAAATATACACGTGAGTTCGCAAGAATCCCATTCCGAGAACTGCATAAACCACCTGCTGAATAGTCTTCATTACTCCTCGTGTGAAGAGAAAGTCTGAAGCTATACAACTACTTCACCTATCATTCCACACCTGCATTTCTCTGCAAACATCCTTGCTATATTCGCACTATTCTCAACTGCTTACCAAAGACGAAACCTAATAAACAATTGTGCTACTATATTTATCTACATACTGCTGGGGGACAGGTGGTCATACACCCAAGAAGAACTATTTTTCTCTGAGTTTCCTGTTTTCCAGTACTTAAAGGTTACATACTTCAGGACAGTGAGGGTTAGGCAACAGTTTTTGTTCTCGTATCCTCTAATCAATGACTGAGGCACAAAATTTTGCCTGAAGTTTTGAAGTTTTATTGCCTCTCAGACACAACATGGTAAATTTCAAGAACCGTCTGAACCACACCTATTATTGGCCTACTTTCCATGATAGCCTACTTTCCAGAATTTCCCTCAACAATTACATGATTTCCCTCACAGCGGGACATTCCAGACCCTCTGAAATATCATGATTCTTCAGCAGCTGTGCAAGCCCTGACCTGAGTCATGTTCACATCGCAGTCTCCTAACTCCTGTGGGAAGTGCGCTCACCATTCCACGCTGGCACTGCCTTCGCGCAGCCATTCAGTGAGCTATCCCCGGCACCGACTTCACAACCGACTTCTGAACAACGATTACCACAGTTCGTAAACTTGATCTCGGGATCCGTCTTGCACGTACAGTTCGTGTCCTTGCGCTCCTCTGCGCTCCTGATGCTGCCCATCACACTACAACCATCGACGACCAGGAGCGGACGTCCCCCGACAAAGCATCCGAGTACGTCCCAGCGACGGCTCGTCCCGCGCGTCACAAACAGCCACCAGGCGGCGCTCGACACGGCGACGATCGTCGCGAGCGACGCCAGCATTGCAAACGTCCGGTACGGGAACAGATGTCCGAGTTCCGCATCATAGAGGGCGCCATAGTAGATGAGCGGTGGCAGGCCGAGCAGCGGCTCCCCGGCGCCGAGGCGCAGCAGCACGGCGACGACCAGGCCGGCCAGCGAGCCGTACGTGTTGGCGGCGCCCTCTGTGCAGTAGACGACGGCAACGAGCTGCGGGAGGAGGGCGACGAAGACGACGTCGGCGGCGATGACGAACATGCCGAGGACGCTGGTGACGGTGAGCGAGATCGCGCAAGCGACGCCGCCGACGACGACCACCGCGCCGCGCTGAACGCGAAGCAGTTCGCTGCTAGATGCCTGCGGAGGAGAAGACGGCGACACAAACTGATTTCATTTATATAAATTAATATATTTATATATAATTGATATTTTTATAATTATAGTTTTAATATAATTATTACGTATATATGTGTGAATACAGTATGTATATATGTATATCAAGTGAACGGTGAACAGGGAGAGGAGGGACAGTTAAAGGGATACTGTACCCTAGAATTTTATTATGGTAAATGCATAAATAATAGCATATAAATAATAGGCGTTAGAGATTGGAATCGGTTGGAGAATTTCATCATCGATCGTCGGTTACACCCAACTGATCGATGATCGAAGATAATCGGGTGAATGTTATTGATCGCGGCCACCAGATATAATATGATATACTTCAATATCTGGTGGCCGTGACCAATAACATTCACCTGATTATAATCATATATAATACAGTATTTTTTATAATACAATATTCTAAAAGCTATGTAACAGTATTATACTTGCTTATGTTTGGTGTTGTTTAGATATAAGCTTTAAAGTAACCAGAAAACGCACACACAAATACAATAAAGAGTTATTTCATCAATGTTTGCACTTTTTATTTTTTATTATTTTAGAATCGTTTATTCATTTTCATAATAGAGTGCTTAGTCGGTTGCTGCAACCGACTGACTTTCGATTATAATCGATCATCGGGACATCACAAGAAGATGTCGACACGACAGTGAGCGGGGGGAGAGACATATAGGACAGAAGGGATGGTTACGAAACTCACGGGGATGTTCATAAATCCTTCAAGGAGATGTCCATGAGCCCGGGAGGCCCATTGTAAGACACGTTATAAATAGATATGACTGTTTTAGGACCTTATAATAATGAATATGATAATAATGTGGGCAAACAAAACGCTCTGAAAGTTCCCACCCATCAGTGTATGGAGAAATAAGGATATACAAAAGTGTCACCTAGTGCTATAGCCATCAAATAAGAATGAAAATGAAAAATCAACAAAATTTCGCATAAAACCTTGACTGTATTCTTAAGGAATTACTCATGAACTCCTGGTTACTTCACGTCTGTTGTGGAGAAAGGAGACACAAGGGACATTCCATTTATGGATTTGTGTTAAAAAAATTCTGCATTTAGAACTGCATTTTTGTCAAGTCGTTTTATCTTTGTAGGGCAACAAACGTAAAAAAAACATCCACTCGTTACGAGATTACATTTGGCATCATCAATGAAATAAGTGAGACTGAAACGCAGCAAAGGAACGAAATTCTATGCTTTTAAACATTGTTAATTAAGTATCCCGACATCGCTCCCTCAGTAGTGTGGTAGCAGCAGAGACAGCCTGTACTTACAGAGGACCTCAGCAGTGTGCGGTAGATGTTGTGCGTGAACATGGAGCTGGAACCAAGGATGGCCGAGTCGATTGATGACATCACCGCCGCAGAGAGCGCACACAGGCCTATCAGAACACGATGCAAGTGAATGGGTGAGCAATGTTTCTCACGTTGTCAGCATTAGTAGCTATACTGAAAGGACAATCATGCATTTCAGCCCTGTGGGAAGACAATGCAGTTAAACCTTTTTTCATAAATAGCCAAAAGGATCTCTCTGGGTCTACACCTACACAATAGTAGACGAATGTTTCTCATCCTGCCCACCCCGGCTGTCTCACCACCATGAACACACATGGCCGCGAGTGCCCTACCTGGTTTACCCCACGCCCTTCCCAGCAATTTCATATTGTATATTTATCCCTCTTCGTTCAACGTAAACAGTGTTGTTAAAAGTTTATTCGCACTTCGTTGTAAGAACTTGCCTCAGCGCTCCTCCAACATACTGAGGTTTCCTAAAACTTTATAATTAACGCCAAGGCAACACCTACATCACCCCGACTTTTCAGGGTGCAGTCTTGCATACTGTATACGCCATATTTTTCTCGTACAGCTATATTTGCGAACTCAGACTTGACGGACAATTTCACATGGAGGTACGCAACGAGGGCTAATTAAGTTACTCGCACGGGCACAACGTTAGTCCATGACAATCTCGTAAGGATATGAGTCTAGAGTAGAGCTCTGGAGATTTGTATAATATACTGTATACGCCATATTTTTTTCGTACAGCTATTTTCGCGAACTCAGACTTGAGGGACAATTTCGCGAGTGTTTAATATCGCGGTCGGTGAATTACGAATTATTCGGTATGAATTATTCGCGTGTTGTTATTTTCGCGGTCAGGGACGCGTTCGCGAAATTCGCGAAAATTAAACCCCCGCAAAATATACAGCGTATACAGTAATCGTTACTGGAAGATGTAGCTGTGCTATCCAGCTGAGCGAGTTAACGACACCCCCTTGGATATTGCTGCTTGGTGAGGTACAGGTTATGTGCGCAGTTATGAGTAGCTCGCGTTAGTGTCTATGGCTGCTCGTGAGCTGTGTGAATTTGTTACATAAACGTGTTAACCGGTGAATGTAGTGGCCCGAGTGTGATCGATAATTCAACCTAAGCGCAATGAAAACAACAAAACAAACACAGTGGTTAATGGAGCTATTCGATGAAGCGGACACGTGTCAGTACTGACTCTCACCTAGCAGGGAGACGGCTCGAGGCGTGAAGCTGTGCAGCACAAGCGGCAGCACCATGCTCGCATCCCCACCCGCCGCCACATCCAGTGGACTCACGCCGTCGCCGACTGCCGTCCAGTCTGTAGACGAATGTGTAGAGCACCAATCAGCGTACGATCAAAGCAGATAACCCCACTGCCAGTAAGCTTAATTGCCTGCTGGATTACATATGTGCATCAATCAAGTCGCAGGCTAAAACGCCACGTGAAATCTATATATTAATATATATATATATATATATATTACATGCCACGTAGATGCATATATTACTGACACTGCAATTATTACCAACAGTGCTAATATTACGACAAACTAAAATACTAAACAAGTGCCGCGGAGCGACAGCGTCATCTGTCTAACGTCTACTGCGTGACCATGTGCGTGAGTGGCGGGATTCTCAGAAACCCTGAGTGCAAACCAATGCTCGGCTACTCACCCAATATCTGGTGTATCACATACACGCCGAAACAGTGGAATGCACAGGGATTGGCTATCATGGAACCTTCTCCAAAGGAATGTTTCGTTGGGATGGTTATGAAAGTTTGCCACGAGATGGCGCGTACGTTTAAGTGTCTTCAGATTGAAAGATGGAAGCCTCCCATCGTATGTAGTAGCAACCAACTATTTTGCAAGACGAATAGGTAAGCACTCATCCATTTACCTCGCACAGCCATACAGGCTGCAATAGAGAGCTGCCACCTGTAACCAATTAACGCAGGGCAAAAACTACCCAGTACCAATGACACATTGCCAGGCCAGTAAGCACTGGCAAGTGGCATACGCTTACATGTTAACAAGGACTGACAGTAAGAATGCCATAGAAAATTATACGATTTAAGGAGCATAAACCTTCTTTAACCAAATTTAGCTTTGAATATTTACTGATGACATTTGTAACCTCATACATCCAGGCATGTATAGATTATACTAAGCAAAACCGCAGTTTCAAATTCTTTCTAACAGACTAAGTCAACAAATCCATGTTTAAACCTCCTCTTGAGGGTCAAAAGGTTATCTGACACTTACTCTGTCGCATGTCAGCAGAAGCAGTAGATTTCATGGTCCTTTCAATAATGCCCCCATAAAAATGCTAGGTCACCGCTGAAACATAAAAGTTTTTCATATCGCTCCGTCCGCCATCGTCACTAGAAAATGTTTAAAAATTCATGCCTGTGCCCATTGACCTTTGACCTGTGACCTCCAATTTCCGACAACATTGATGGCTTTTCCTACCATGATGGCTATTACACCAAACTATCACGAGGCCTAGGTCGAGCACGTTAGATTTGTCGCCGCAATTCTGGATTTCCTCCCATAATCCTTTAAGTTTAAAGGAGGATGTTCCCCTTTTTTAGACACTCTTACCTTTTGACATTTTGACCCCCAGCTTCGAACATCCCAACTCGTTTTCGGATTACCCCCCCACGTCCCGAATATCTGATCCGTACGTCGAGCGTCAGTTAAATTTTGTGCCCCAACTGTTGCGGTTCTAACGCGGACACGCTTCGGAACGGACGCTCGGAGACGCTCGGCGGACGGACAGACGGACGGACGATCATGCGATTCTACAAGCTGCATCTGACTATGTCAGATGAGCTAAAAACTAACATACGAAAATTTTACGTTTCGTTTCCATATGGCCTCTCACACATATCTTGAGAGCCTGCTATTTGTCAACAGTGATATGCTTACTTGCGACGGATCCGGCTGCGCCAATCAGCACCGGAGGGATCGCGAGCAGAAAGGCTCCGAAGGATCCGATGATAGAGAAGTACTGCGCCTGTGTGCCTGACCGCGCTGAGAGCACACGCTGGAAGTACGACTGCCACGGGATTGAGCCAAATATCTGACAGCGAGAGTGAAATAGCAAACATTTTACACATAAAACCTATAACATTTCTACACGTCAGATCAGGACTCAGGAGTGAATAATAATAGAAAGATCTATTATTATTCACTCCTGGTAAGATAACCTGTTACCTTACTCCTGATTTTATGTATTCTGTTAATTCTGCATGCGTTTATTGAATCAATTTAACAATGCCAGTTTTCCTGTGAATTTCTTTGGTAAATTAATTCAGTTAACATGGGCCGAATGACCACAGAATACATATTATCAGATGCAATTTATTAATTCACTCCTGGTATTATTCACTCCTGGTATTATTATCAATGAGACTATATAATAAATACATTGTTAACTAGTGTTCCTAATGTTGCGTAAATATCAAAGATTATGACTCGACTTCTAGAAGATTATAATATATATATATATATATGTATTTAATATATATATATATATATATATATATATATATATTATGAATAGAACCATGTGACACTGACTGTAATGAACCGCATGCTCAAATTACCATGACAATGAAGAAATCTATCCAGACAGCAATTTGCTTGTTTTCTATCGTTCCAAGCCATTGGTCGCTACCTTCCATTATACTTCCCACATGTTCATTTGTTAGCACAAATGGAATGCCCAGAAGCTTCATACAAAAAATACAAAAAAAAACCAATCAGCAAAGACAGTAAAGCACAATAACACGTAGTCAGCAATGTTAACTGTAAGCCAAGTGACACACTAAAGCATCTCACTTGCTACAACACTTAATGATAACCCATCTCCCCATTAGAACCCATAGCTATACCGCACCTGCCCTATAGCTAGCCCTATGTTCTTCTACGAACAAAGAGACTTAGACACGTATGGCAATTGCTTTAGCTAGACACAATGATTCTCTAGGAACGAAGAGAGTTCGGCAAGTATTCTCTTTGCCCTAGCTATAAGCCCTATATATTCCTCTAGGAATGAACAGGGTTAAGTAAGTATTCTCCTTGCCCTAGCTATAGGCCCTATACATTCCTCTAGGAATGAAGAGGGTTAAGTAAGTATTCTCCTTGCCCTAGCTATAGTCCCTATACATTCCTCTAGGAATGAAGAGGGTTAAGTAAGTATTCTCCTTGCCCTAGCTATAGACCCTACATATTCCTCTAGGAATGAAAAGTAAAGAAAGTATTTTACTTGCCCTAGCTATAGGCCCTATATTCCTTTAGGAATGAAGAGGCTTAAGTAAATACAATGCAGTAAGAGCTCTGTACATCTCGATGAGCATAGGCAATTTAAGTACCAGCACATGCATTGCACTCACCAATCCAAACGACATAAACGCGAGTTGCACGACGTCCGTATAGGCGACGGACAGCATCTGTCCAAGAACCGTGTAGATGATAGCGACTATTGCCGATGCCACGATCGCAATCCGAGTGTCCAGTCCGACAATGACCGCTATGCTAGTGCCAAGGGCTGCGAGTACAGATGCTGACCAGAACATGTCTACAAATGAGAGCAAATCTCGCTCTAGCTCTCGCCCTCACCCCTTCGCTCTCTTGTCCGCCTTCCCTCCCTCGCTAGTGACGAAATGCAAGCAACGGGGAATAATCTGTTAATTTTAACATTCTAATAGATGCTCCGGCAGTTACCCACTCATACGCCCAATTCATGCCTCACAGAGAAGTTAATAAAACCACATGACATGCATAGATTTTGGCAACACTAGAGAATGCAATCACAGACCCTGTCCAACATACCTGCGCAGAATGCAGCGATAAACAGCAACCCAGTCATTTTCTCACCAAACCTCTTCTCAAATGGATCTAGAAATGTTATGTAGTTTTGATCTCGCATCTTCTTAGCGAAGAACAGGCCACCTGTATATCAAACAAAAATTTCTATATAAGTTTCCTTACACAGCCTCCAGACCTTTTAACATAAATGTAAAAAATGCAAGTTTTAATGAAACAGTGTTAAACATGATTGAGATGTATGGTTATATTCTTCTACAAATACAATGCCATGTGAGCTTTAATGAAAGAACCAGAACCTGTGTAGATTGCATGATAACAAGTATCAATCCATCGTAAACAAGATTTCAACTTAATGGGAAGTAATGCAAAAAAAGGTTAATAAATTAATATACATATGACCTATAATCATTCCAAGAAAAATCCCAGGCGGCGCAAGAGTCCAGACAAGCCCCTGTTCAGCCACTGATTGAGCCGTTCCATTTATATAGCTGCCACATATAAATGTTGCTGAAAATAAAGTCAAACTTATTTTAGCATTTTAACAAATGTCAACAAACCCACTCACCTGTATAAATACAATTATATAGTATTAGTACTATGAGCACAATGTTATAGATTGCCAAAACACAAATGACCACTACACGTGGGCTATATTAGATTTGATACATTACTATGTTCTTTGAATATTTTCAGTTAAAATAGGTTAAAATTACACTACATAAAATGTTTTACGCAGTGGCTATGCATCCGGTCATCCATTACAAAGCTCAGCACAGATTCCCAAATTCACGTCACGAGTAAGCCACGCCCCCTTTCAAATCGTTGATTTGACTGGATTTACTATTGCTTCAAATGTTAAAAAAAGACATTTTTTTGATAAAATACCTAAAGGTAAGTAATATTATGGTAAAAACTTATTGTTTGTTTTTTACTGAAAAAATATAGTTGGGTTCACATAAGAAATATATGACCGGACGCGTAGCTTGGGAGCTGGGCGTCTGGTAACCGGACGCGTAGCCACGGCCAATGTTTTAATGGTTCAATATTCAATTATTAGGAATATTTTTTTTAAATGTTTTAAAACTGAAGGCTATACCGTTGCTTATAACGATGGTACGTGGCGCCACTGGAAGTGGCGCAAAGCAACGTTTTGGCTGCATGCAGGCTACAGAGCGAGGGTGTTTCTTATTTATTAATCTAAGATGAGAAGGATTGCGATATCTTATAAACTACACTTAGTTTCAGTTATAATCTATGGGCAAATTTGTCCTAAAATAAAAATCATTTGGTTACTTAAATAGCAGTTAGGTATAAATATAATTGCACTTTTGTGAATAGCCCTCCGCCAATATAGTCGAAAGAACACTAGACCTAGCCACAATACACTACACGTCAAGTTTATTGCTCGACCCGACACGAAGGAGGAAGTGACAACATACGCGCACGCGTAGTACACGTCGAGACCAAATACGGTATTGTCTACGCACGTAACTTCCTGTAGTGACTCCCTGGCGCCACTCTTCTTTTCAATTATATAATTAAACCAACTCAAAAGAATATCTACATGTGCTTTACAAGCGACCATCGTACAAATTATTAAGGTACATGTATAAATTAAACATTGGAGGTGACAAATGACAAATTCACCAACCTTGCCGATCAACAACCTTGCAATGGTCATGTCCATACAGGATACGCAATATACCGTAACTAATGTGCACACTCAGTCATACCAAAGATATACTACAGTCACCCCATCAGACAGCTCAACATCACCAGTCACACGCACAGCCCCACTTCCAACATACCGCAACACTTCCATCACACCAGAATTATACGCTCTACCAGCAACCACGTAAACACATAAGGAAGCACATGTTGAAGAGTACAAATTTTAGCTTTGTCACTAATAAGGGACATAATCATCAAGCTTTCTGGGCTGACGTCGCTCGCGCCTTGGTCGGCCTCCCTCGAGACAATGATCAACTACATAGATCTGAGTTCACACAATGCGACAGACACCCCCCCCCCCTGGAGGTACTGGGGCATCCACAACACCAGGAATGTACGTCAAATCTGGAGAACCCCTACCTAGAGTCGGCGGGGTTTTTATAACGCCGGGAATCTCGGGGAGGTCTGGAGGATCACCGGAGCCTGGAGGATCAGCGGAGCCTGGAGGATCACTGGAGCCTCGACCAACACTTTCCTCGTTACCGTCGTCTTCATCGGATGAGTCGACATCCGCAGGAGAAGAATGTTGTCCACTCTTGACAACAGGAACCTTATAAGTGAGACTGTCTGACCCTATATGATTGGCGACGAAGTTGGGAACCGGCAAACTTTCTAATATTACACCAACTTCCCTCAATGTTCACAACCAGATATCTATCACGAGCATGTGACTTATTGCGATCCGATCGCAAATAGACCGGATCACCAATCCCAATATGCTCCGATGGGGGAGCAAGTCCACTAGCTAGGCGTTTTCGATTTTTTACTTAATGGGTGGTTTGAACACCTCAACTCATGTTGACGCAGTATTATTTGGCTGTCGTCAATAGTTATCTGTTTGTGGGTGCATGAACTGGTCACGCTGAGTCCACATTTCCTTAGAGGATAACCCCCTATTTCTCAACCGGGTATTCAATCGTGCAACAGCAATCGATAACATGACAGGCGAAACAGCACGGTAAGAGGGATCTTGACGTAAAATTTCCTCTTCCAATTCCTGTATCGCTCTTTCGGCTACCGGGTTTTTGTTTACATTCTTGGTTCCAACTTAACGTGATGGCGTGACAGGAGTTCATCATTAACCAGTGCAGCAAAACCAGGTGCCGGGTCCGTTCGCACAACAGCAGGGGGTCCCTCAAGGGGACGTAACTCTATACACAAAGTTCTGCAAAATCGCATCCCTATTAGGGTAAGCGTTTCGTGACGTTCGTTTTCCACAAATGTGGCCACGGTATAAGATGTAACATACTCTCGAACTATCAGAATCATCTGACGCTCACGTCTGATGACATCCGCAGCAAACAAATACCCTACACATTCAGGCGGATCGCACGTACTCTGTTCACTGGTCATTTGTGGAAATTTCTTGAGAGAAGCACACTGATGATAACCCTGCATGACGTGCCCTATCGTATTACCCAGATCCAAAGCGTAGAAATACCGTTGAACAACGGACTTGAACTGGTAAGCAGAGGGATGGTCCAATTTGATATGCAGGGCAGTAAGGAAGCCTTCAAGTGCATGTCTGGGGATCACAATACACTCACGAGACTGGGACAATGGTACATCACGTCTCACCACAAGTAAACCATCTCTAGACAGGGTAGCTATGCCTAAGTAACGTTTCACGTCTTTGACATTTTGCGAGTTTCTTTGACGGCCGTGTACCCTGACGCAGATGAGAGCATGTACGGCGCGAATCAGCACATTCTGACTGAATAGTTAACCAAGCAGGCCTACTAGTGAACGGCATTTTGACAGACCCATCCAAAACTTCCCTCGTAGACACGTGACGCACAACGGAGTCCTCAATTTGTTGGACAAATGAACAGACTTGCCATGCAGGATCTTCACACACTGGTGCATTGCGACCAGCAAAGTCCGATGGTAATATGGCTGACCCGCTAACGTGTCTGACTGACACCTGATACCGACTAGACATAGACAAGAATAACAGAACTCTGGGACTGGCAGAGATCTGACCCCTACACAGCTTCTCATATGCCTGCACACACGGTTTGCTGTCAGTGAGAACACATGCATTTGCAGAGGACTGAATGACGTATGGACTAAAATGTTTTATGGAAGCGGCAATCGACAAAGCCTCGATTTCACACGGTAACCAGTTCACTTGGTTTTTGCGCACTTTTGCACCAAAGAACCCGACAAGCAACACCTTAGACCCGCGGGTAGCATACAAAGTGGCCCCCAGACCATATCTCTTGACTGACCCATCTGTAACAATCCAGAGTTGATCCTCTGCCCTGGGTAGAGTAATGGAGCGATTAGAACCTAATACATCATGGGCCTTCTTGAAGGCACTACGTAGGTCATCGGTCCACATAATCAAATCTTTAGATTCTCGTCCCGCAATCGCGTCATCCAACGGAGCTAACAGGGATGCACTGCCCTGAATTACCCTGGCGAGGACCTTAAACGCACCAATAAAGGAACGCAGACCTGACACCTGAGTAGGGGCACAACACGCAGATAGAGCAGCAACACGATGTGGGCTAGCACGAATAGTACCCAGTTCCCAAATCTACCCCAAAATTGACATCCGTTTTGGAGCGATAACCATTTTGGATGCAGACAAATTCAAGCTGCACTTCCGTAAGGCAGACAGCACCCTTTCCCATGCACCGAGTAACTCCTCAGGGGTGTTCCCTCCCACATACAGATCATCAGACTCTTTGGCTACCACACCTTCTTCTACCAAGTCGCCAGCACCCGACACGTCAGTTCCTCCAGTGCTGTTTCTGAACCTGGTATGCCCATGGCTGAACGAACGTAAACTCTAACACCCTTGAACGGAGTAACAGTTCCGCAATACTTCATGGACTCCCGGGAAAGTGGAATCTTGTGAAAGGCCTTCGTAAGATCAGTCACAATAATATATCTCCACTGGGCAATCTGTCTCAAAGTAGAATCGACATCCGGCATCAAAGACGGTTGAGGTCTACTGTACCGACCTACGTCAGCAAACGCTGTGACTAATCTGAACCCGCCACTAGGTTTTTTTACAAGAAATGACGGGCTAATGTACTCAACAGAGACCCCACCCCAAACCTGCAACGTCTGTAACGTGCAAAATAAAATGGCAAATGCGCAACTTTTTCAGGGTGGCAGCAGCCGTGCGGTGTCATGTGAGCGGTCGAAATAAAAGATTTAGAAATTCACTGAACATTGTTTTACGACAAACATGAATGCGTGATTATATAAATTTGTAGGTATATGCTATTATTTATGCACTTACTATCATAATATATCCTAAGATTCTAAGGGAAAGTATCCCTTTAAGCAACTATAATCTACTGTAGTTTCCCATCCTAAAGGGCTAGAAAGAGTAGGAGTAAGAAGAAAAAATTAAAGAAAGACAGAATAATGCAAAAAGAGAGAATATATAAAATCACATATACCTGTCATGGTGCACACCCCAACAAATGTACTCAGCTTGCGATTTGCAACCATTAGCATATCGCTTGCCTCCTCCTGCTGCTCCCCCTCTTGGATAGAGACTGCATCACTTCTTGCCTTCGATACTTTTGCAGCATAGATGCCGATTCCCAGTATGACGGCATATAACACAGCAAGCACCGCCAGCCCCCAGACATCTACCTCCATGATATCTGTCAGTTTTTCGCTGTAGTGTATAAAATATAAACTACCTTTCAAGTATACTTATCTTGTCATAATTTCACAACACAGACATTATATCCTTTCGACAAAATCTTGAATACGATTATGATGAAAGTAGTCAGGACTCTGTACAAGCAGAAGCGTAATACACAGTGTCAACATACAAGTTACACAGTTCCTTAATTACCAGTACCAGGACGAATGTGATTACATGTGATGATGTGTTTACAAACACTAGACTACAGTGTCGTAATAATACGTGCTCAGTTTGAACTTTGACACTGCGTCGTGACAGTGACGAAAGGCTACACCGAGTGACTGATAATAACTGACAAGCTGGCTGTGATTGAGCTCTAGCTAGTACTATATCCCTTGTTGCCACAGCACAGGCAACAAGGGCTATAGTACTAGAGTAGAGCTAGCTGTGATTCAATTACAGGCAGCCTGGGCCGTCGTTACGGCCCAGTTAAGGCGTAAGTTTAAGTTACTGTTTTAGTTAAGGGATAATTAATTATAAGTTACCGGTCCCTAGCTCTAGTGTAGCCCGCGTAGTGTCGCTTGCGGCAACTGTACGCGGGCTATATAGTTAGCTCCAAGAAACGGTCTTGCTAGGGTTAGAAGACCGTATGACAATCGGTTGCACAGCCTGGTCGGGCTAGCTATAGTACTAGAGCTAACCGGTCCCTAGATACAATAATAATGTAACCCAAACCAGGGTGCGAAATTAACACGAGTCCGGAGTCAAGTACTCCCTGATTTACTGTCGGACTCCCTGATTAGTGATTTGACATATGCAGGAGTCCGTGCGACTCCCTGAAAATTCTGATATACTAACATAACAAGTTCGTTCCAGAGCACCGCCATACGGAATTACCGTATTTTTTTCAGCAAGTGTCCAAAGAAAATTTGGCAGACGAGACGTGCATCGCAATGATTCGCATGAATTTTCAAAATGTATGCGTTATTGTTGTTGTGCTTTAGTTTTGAACTTCAGACTGCGGACTCCCTCATTTTGCTACGGACTCCCTCTTTTTGAGGGCAGGGAGTCGATCCGTGAGACTCGATCCCTTGTTCAAGAGTTAATTTCTAACCCTGCAAACACAGGGGTAGGTGTTTGGGCCCAAGGATAGAGAACATGGGTCCCAATAATTTAATAAAACCAATGTGCCTAACCCTAACCCTAATTCTAACCCTAACTAACCCTAATCCTAATCCTAACACTAACCCTAACCCTAACACTAACCTATTATATTGATATAATATTATATTTACATTGATGTAAATGACATTGGTTTTATTGGGACCCATGTTCTCTATCCTTGAACCGGTGTTTGTCCCCTACCACTGTCACCTGTGTTTGGGTTACATTTAACGCCATTAGCCATACTATTGTATTGACATTGTATCTAACCGGTCCCTAGCTCCAAGAAACGGTATTGCTAGGGTTAGAATACCTTGACGTTGGTCAATTGGTGTATTGACGTTAGTCACACAGCCTGGTCTCTTTTATAGACACTCCGTCGCACAGCCTGGTCGGGCTAACCGGTCCCCCTACTTTGGGCGGTAATTACACTTACAGCGAGGTAGGTTTATGTTAAATTGCATCCGCATCGATCCTTGCACGTATACATAAGCGTAAACTGATCCAGAAATAGTAAAATTCACGAGTATAGTCATAGAATAAGAGCACATTATTCGTAGTCTTTGGCCAAAGTTCACCGACGTCGCGTTGCCAACAACCAAAAGCAGCGTGCCGTGGAAGCAGCTACTTTAACCTCTACCGCAGCGCACATGGAACAGCTCATTTCGTTTTACCATGGGAGTGCATGCCTCCTGTTTGATGCGTTTTATCAAGAGTTAGAAGATAATGGCAAGAGTAGATAATAAGATATAAGATATATGACAGCTAATAACAAATGGAATATCTTGCCTTTTCATATATTTGATTCCACCTTTGCCACACTAGGCGCCTAATAAGGAAATTAAAGTAGGCGTACTCCCTTTTGAAGGATGTTATAGATGCATGGCAAAAGATTTAATAATAACTTTGTACCAGCGCCTCTATAGAGGAATAGTCTTAGCGAATCCATTGCTACAACAGGGACAAATCAACTTGGAGTTCATTAAGCAATGGCTATACAGTAGAGGGATTAGACACATTAGAGACATTACTCCACATAGAGACACTTTCTTACCCAAAGAAAAACTAAAAACTAAATTTAAATATACATGTACTTTCTTGACTACAGAGGAGACTGATAAAATCAATACCAGCCTGCATGGCAATCTATCTAAACTATAAAAGAGATGCAAATTTATGGACCAACAACATACTCACCCCTTTGAAAATATTTATTAAGTACGGTAAAAATGGATGTAAACATTTCCAAACATTTTAAAGGGACAACATTACTATGGTGGTGTCAAAGCGCAAGAGACAATGGTGCATAAAGTCTAGATGTCGACAAATAAACAAGATTTTTGCGTCAACAAGGTATATAGGTTACCCTTTGAGGTGACTCTGGCATACAAAACCTTAGCGTATTTTCATACCAAGATCTTGTATAGGAATTATTGCTACAAATAGATACTTACATTTAATGGACAATTAGTTGGCACAGTGATTTAATGTTACTTTTTTGCTAGCCGGGGAAGTGCGAGACTATTACGCACTTATTTGTTGACATGTGAAAAAGCTTGTACATGTATGGCTCTGAGCTGCCAGCGATGGGATGGAAAATTTCGTGGTTATCATAACATTCAATTTCGAAGAGAATATTATCATTAGCGTCCGAAAAACTGATACTTATATTCAACCTTATAATTTTGAGCCTGTAATTTACTATCTACAAATGTAAGATCATTGAGGTAAAAATCCAACCATGGCTGCAGCCAGGGGGCCACATATAAAAATATTATGAACACAGAAACGTACTAGCAAATATTAATATATATCTGGAAAATTCGTATGGTAATATGGTCAGCTGTTTATATTCTCATGTACAGGGAAAAGTCGCTTACCTGTACTACTGTTGACCTATATGCCACAGTATATCTTTGTATTAATAATACAATAATCGAGAATGATATATAGGATAGAATACCATGTATAGATACCAACTCTCTTCTCTGCTATGTACGTGTACTTGCTATAATAAATCGTTTGTTCTGGAAATAAAGTGCATCTATAACGACATAAAAGAAGAGAAAAAAAAAAGTAAGATAACTAAAACACTGGTGTGGTATCTATTCTTGTAATGGTTATATTACTGCTTTATCCTGCTCCTCTGTTATTTATCTCTACA